TTATGTCAGGAAACATCCTCACATAGATGAAATTAAAGCCCTAAACCAAAGGAGTGAAAGAAAACTATAAATCTCTATTGAAAGACGTGATTGCGACGACTTTCACCAAAATGTGAAATTTAACCATAATTATATATGGTGGAATTATTGTTAACAGATTAAAATCAAGGAAAATGGAAATACAGACTATAAATAATATGTAGCATTCAAGAATGACAATTAGATAAACTGAAATTTCCAAAAGTCAAAATTAAATTATATTGCCAAATAGTGTTCAAATGTGGTTCACTTGTAAAATGACATTATTTATTGGACAGTCAATTCTTACAATGGTTAGGCTCTTATTATTCTTATAAGAATAAAAGTATTACAGAATTTTAGTTTATAAAATAATAATTGTGTAATGTATAAGAATGTACAAAAACCAAATACTAGGAAATAATAACATAAAACAAGAAGTATTTAAAGTTAGTGTAATAAATCCCTTCAATACTTAAAAACATACATAAATATTAACTAATCTCAGATTTATAAAAATAATTTAGCTGAAAACATTATGCATGATTTTAGTAATCCAATTTTGAATTTTTATTTAGTCGAACACTTTATCAATAATTGCTACTTTTTAAACTTGTTTTTTCAAACAAAGAGTGTAAGCCCTACTTCAAAATGAAGTTCTCACTTATACAATGTAGATTGAAGAAGAATTTTCCTGATCTGAGAAGGAAGCATCAAAAGAATAGGATGCTAAATAAAGAATATGATGAGATACCAGAATATTCTTTGCACATTATATTTTTGTAATATGTAAACTAATATTTTCGTTAATATTTGTGTATGTTCTCAAACAATAAAAAGTAAAATCTTGCAGGGAATGGCAAGCACATGATTTCTGTGATTGTCTTTCACAGGGAAACAATCAGCAAAACAATCAAAACCCCTCCATTAATTTCCTGTTTTAATATTGTTGTATAAGCTGTGTTATTTGTTAAAATCAATGAACTAAGTACAGTGCTTCACTAAGACTAAATATACTATTCTACTCCTTATACACCAATTCCTTTACAGTCTGGTTAATTCCAGCCACACAATTAAATGGTCACGCGAAAAATGCAATCGAGAAATCAATAACATACTTAAAGATTTAGCAGAGAATGTGTAACATGTATCTTCTCTTCATATATCTGAAAAATAACAAGTATATTTCCTCTTTCATCCCATCCCACACCAACAACAAAAAGGTTGTGATACTCAACTCAGCCCAGCCAATGTGTGGAATTTTGCTGATGCTGAAAAGAAAACACAACTGCTAGAAAGTTCCTACAAGACAGGGTGCAATAACGCTGAATAATCAGCAATTGCAGAGAAAGTCTCCTGCAGAGAGAAAGAGATTTTTAAAAATATGGTACTGAAATAGAGAAGTTAAAAGATGTTAAAGCAGATACTCTGAAATATAAAACAAAAACTGGTGAAGGAAAGAGGCATTAAGCCAAAGCTCGTATTGCAGGACAATACAAGACATAAAATATAAATATTTGACAGGAAGGAAATTATACACAGTGTTACCGAACTTTTTCTTCTTAGCTACTTTTAAACTTAATGGGATTCTTACCTTGTACATAAATCACTAGTATAACTACTTAAAATCTAAGGCCGTTAATCCATTTAGACATAGGATGGCCATTAGGGCAGAGTAGAACTGTCTCATAGAGGTTCCAAAGACAATGTTTAGGAAGCAGACGGCCATATTTTTCTCACATGGGGCAATTGGTAGATTCCAAGTGGCCACCTACAGCACCTCAGCAGAGTTCCCTAGTGCCTGGTGAAGCTCACTTCCGGGATGGGGCTTGCAGCTGGAAACAGCCCTGAGTGTGCTTGGTACCAAAGAAAAGCCTGACCTCAAGAATCCTTCTCTCCCACAGCACCGAGCACAGAGACTTGGGTTACAGATGATGCTGGGTGAGTAACGTGGACATTGGCATAATGAGCCAAAAAAATACATCTCTCTTTTATTTTATTTATAATTTGATAATAAAGCAATCTTTCTTTTCACTTAAGATAGTCTTGCCCTGTCTGCTCTGCAAAGTTGTCAATTCTTACCATTAACAATTGTAAACCACTGTTGTCTGTACCTATTTGTTCTCCAGTGTGGAAGAAAAGTGAGACTTGCTAGTCCTGTAAAGAGATATGGGGCAGTTCTACCCTGAATTTGAATCAATACATTTCCATTATGGTCCTGGAAAAAAATACTGAATGTACCATGGACTACTAAAAGAACAAATCATCTTAGAAATACAGTCAGAGTGCTCCCTAGAGGCAAGGATGTCTGACACTTCATCTCACATACTTTGAACATGTTGTAAGGTAAGACCAGTTCCTAGAGAAGGACATCTTGTTTATAAAAGTAGTGGGGCGGAAAATGCAGTCCTTCGACAAGATGGAATGACACAGTGGCTACATCAATGGGCTCTAGCATACAAACAATTGTGAGGATGGCATGGGTCAGGACAATGCTTCCGTATGCTATAAGTAAGGTTGCTTTGAGTCAAAAATGACTGGAAACCCCTAAAGGAGAAAAACAAAATACCTCACTGCTCTCGAGTCAATGCAAACTCATACACAGGGACCTTAGAGGACAAGGTAAATTTGCCCCTCTTGCCTCATCTTTCTCCTACAGAGCACCTGGTGTTTTTGAACTGCTGATATTGAGACTAGCAGCCCAATGCTTAACTACTAAGCAACCATGTTGCTAGCATATATCTAACAACATGGAAAAATATTATTTCAATGAGAATATACTTTATTTACTTAATGTAACTTTTTCCATGTGACATGTAACCCATTTTCTGTGGGTTGAAAATGCCTCTCTAGAATTTTTAATCTTCTGTAAGGCTAACTACACTTGGTCTTATTTAAAAGCATGACCAAAGAGACTTCTAGAATCCAACTATCCAAAGCAGAGAGAGAGGCCAACAGCTATCAGCTATATGCTGAAAATATGCAGTGGACATTTTCCCTGGGAACGATGTAGGGTTGTGGGCATAGAACATGCAACTCTTAGAAAGTTAGGAAGTTAAAAAAATCCCAAAGATTGTTCATGGAAGAGCATCTGGGAAAGGTGATTAAGTATCAAGTTAGGGTATTGGTAAGGAGCCTGATGAAAAAAAAAATCAGCCTGATTCTGAGTGTAACATCAAAGATTGGAGAACTAAACAGACTCTTAATATATCAAATTGCCAAATGACAAACTCACCACCACTGAACCTATTCCAAATCATGGTGAGCCCTTGGAACAGGGTCTTCCCCTGTGGGATTTGAAGACCATAAATCTTTATGGGAGTAGAAAGCCTCTTGTTTTCTGACATGGGGCAACTGGTGGTTTCAAACTGCTGACCTGATGGTTAGCAGTCCAATGTGAAGCCATATGCCGCCAGAGCAGTGCTGTCGAGACTTCTGGAGTCATAAGTTGTGGCTTGTAAGCAAAATTGCATATAGAGTGAAGGACTACCTCAAGTTCATTTGCTTCAACATCTGAATAAATAGAGATTTCTGAAAAGTCATAGGGGAAAGGGTTGAGGAATAAGGTCTAAGGTTGGATTTAGAACATAATGGCATTGACATGTGGTAGAGAAAAAGCCTCACCGGGTCAGTTGGAATTCTATGACTGCATATGTAAACATGGATTTTTGTGTAAGGCTATGCACACAATGAAACTCCTAGCTTCACACTTATGCCAGGGAAAGGCAGCGTTCCTTGATGAAGCCCCCAGTATGCGCCACTATAGGATGCTGATGGACTGGAATGTGAATGGTCTGGGTGGTTGTCACTGAGCAGAGGATTGTGTGACATCTTTCTGACAAAGTGCCACAGGTCAGGACCTCTCAGACAGCTCTCTCCACTCAAAAGACCCACCACTGTGAATTATATGGTCTTGAAAAGATCCTTTTGAGCTGAATGAGCACCAGGAAGAACCCAGCACAGTAAATGAGCAGTTGCAAGAGACTTTGAAACGTACAAAAGAAAAGGGGACAAGGCATTTTGTGAAGAACTATGAAGTCCACTTGAGAAAACTCTTGCATGTGCAGGAAGAATGGGAAGAACTGGCTGAGAAGCCCAGTTCTCCGTGCACAACAGAATATATATAGGTGCACAGCAATATAAACTGCGTGGATATTTCTCACAGTAGCTGCATTTCACAACATTTATATGGACCAAGTTTGGAAGACCCTAAGATGCAAATATCCCACTTGAAGCATCAAAATTTCACATTTGAGAAAGGCCTTATGAATGACTACTTTATTAAGTTCATACAGCACCATAACAATCACACGGTAAAAATGCATTAAAAATTCAGAATATGCTATGTAACATAGAAGCCCTGCTTGTACAGTGTTTAAGTGATTAGCTGCTAACTCATAGGAGGGTGGTTTAAATATACCCAGCATACCCATGGGAGAAAAACCTAGAAATATGATACTACAAAAATTGCCCCTTAGAAAACCCTAACACATGTGGTTGTGAAGAGTCAGAATTAACACCGTACAAATGGACTTTTTTCAACATGATAACTCGCACTATAGAGTAGGGTTTCTCAACCTTCTTAATACAGGTCCTCATGTTGTGGTGACTCCCGAACCATAAAATTATTTTTGTTGCTACTTCATAACTGTGATTTCACTACTGTGATGAATCAGGTGACCTCTGTGAAAGGGTTGTTCGAAGCCCAAAGGGGTCATAACCCACAGGTTGAGAACCGCTGCTTTAGAGAATCTAAAAGATCGTCTTTATGAGGAAGACATAGGCAGAAGTTGAACTTCACTTACTGGCTCTTCAAATAGAGCCAGCTATATAGAAAACTTTGCAGAAGGTTGGCTATATGCCATAATCTTCCTGGGGCTCTTGCCAGAGCTCTATCACTTCTAGTTGACATGCAGAGACATAACTTCCCATCAGCTGGCAGAGAATTGGAGTGTACATTTGCCACTACTATAAGGTCAAAGAAGGCAATCATGAGGCACTTGAGCTCTTTGATGAGGTTCAAGCCCTTCTTGATGTCTCATTGGTTATTTTGGGTAAAGTTGATTTATTTAATTTGACCTTCTAACAATTTTCTTTGCAACATCCACGAAGTAACTGGATGGTCCCATTCATATTAGACTTTAACATTGGGGTTGAGCAATTTTACCATCCTGTTGTATTTTAAGTCTCTCCTAGATGTAGGAACTGGAGTATACAACTAGTATCAAGAAAGAAAAACAGCCACTGAGCACATCCTTGAATACTGAGTTTCCTACACCAAGTAGCCTCAATCTGGAGACAGAGCAGTGATGCAAGAGGAGGAGCAAGGAATGACACAGGAGTAGTGGCAGCAGACCCGAGAGCCAGAGTGTCTGACCGAGGCTGGGCTTCACAACCCGAAGAACGAGTAGAGCTGAGAGCTTCATGGGAAGGAGCAGGTACTAAATTTGTTTAGCCCTGGAGCTAGAGCTAAAAGTTATTGAGATGAAGCCATGGTGTAGCCACGTGCTTTTAGGCATTTATTGTCAGTGTTAAAGGAATTTTATAACACTTGCCTGAAAGAGGCATAGAAGAAGGAGCTACAGAACTAAGAGAGGAAAGGCCTGAGAGATGCATGCCTGGCTAGAAGAACTGTGGGTTTTTTAGTGAATTATAATGTTAACTTCCCTAATAATCCCCTTAAATGAGTATTGTCTGTAAATTCTGTGGGGTCATTAAAATGAATTATTGAACCTAACTGGAAACCAGAAAACACCCTGGAAGGGAAAGGTGGTATCAGAATTAATAATGAAGGTTGGAGTATGGATGCCTGTCTGACCTGAACCAAAAAGAAATTAGTCTTGAGCTTATGATGAGCTTGCTTTGCATTCACTTTTGTGAAATCAGAGGAAACCAGGTGCCACTCTCATAATAATATTAAGAGTATGGATTTGATAAACTTTTGTTGAAGACAACTTTAATTGACAACTGCTTGTGGCCTGAAGAGAAGTGTATCTCCTTATTGCCCAATGTTGGGTTTACGAACTTTTTGAGGATCTCTTAAGAGTTCTTGTGGTACAATTCACTACTTTTTTGTTGGTTTGAAATATTAAGGTGGCTTAGGTGTTTCTGTGATACTGGTATTTTAAATACTAGCAGTTTCATACAAAGTAAAATGATTTGAGAAGTTTCCAGACTAAGGATAGACTAAGAATGACCAGGCTTTTCAAATCAGAGGGAATAACAACGGAAAATCATATGAATCACAAGGAAACACCTCTAGAAATATTACCAGAGACTTCAGGACATAAAATTCACCTTCC